TCGCCCGAGGGTCTCTGGACACAACGGACATGCAGTAAACGCACCTGAAATCGGGTTGGGCATTGGGCCTCGGCCTTCACACTCACTAATCAAATGTGCTCAATAGCCCCAGGGGGCAGGGACTGCTGTGGGCCCTGCTGGACAGATGGGGAAACTGAGGTCAGAGAGGTTGAGTGATCTGCCCCAAGTTACAGAGGGACTCTCCATTTAAATGGAATTTAAAACTCAGTTCCTCACCCACATTTTGTTTTGTTAATCCTCACCAGAGGATATTTTTTTCATTGATTTTTTAGAGAGTAGAGGGGGTAAGGGGGAGAGAGAGAGAGAGAGAGAGAGAGAGAGAGAGAGAGATGAGAGACACACATCAATTGTTGCCTCCCACAATGCACTCCTCGCACATGCCCCTGCAACCCAGGTAGTGTCCTTGACCAGATATCAAACCTGGGGCCCTTTGGTCTGCGGGCCGATGCTCTAACCACTGAGAAAACCTGGCCAGGGCGCTAGCCACATTTTGAGTGTTCACTACCCACGTGGCTGTGGCTAGCAGTTACCACTGGGCAGTGCAGCTATGGGATGTGTCCATCACGTGGAAAGTTCCATGAATAGTGCTGCTCTAGACCACGGAGGTGGACAGGACCTCAGAGACCATTTAATTCAACGCTCTTCTTCAACAGGCGAAGAAAGAGAGGTCAGGAACTGGATCAAAGTGACACGGTGAGTCAGTGACAGGGTGGAGCTCAAAACCCAGGCTCCTGACTCCCAATCTAGTGCTCACTTCACTGAAGTAGGTGGACTCCTCTGAGCTGGGGCTTGATAAGGGGCTTCTGTGAGGCAAAAAGACACCATAAGCAAAGTCCAGAGACAACTAAATGGAAGAAATGCTTTAATATCGGTAACAGAGGGTGATATTCACAATATGTATGTAATAAGCTACTACAAACATATAACAAAAATAAATGAGTACTTCAGTGTAAAATATGGGCAAAGGCCCGGCCAGTGTGGTTCAGTTGGTTGGAGCACAGTCCCATATACTGAAAGTTCGTGGGTTCAATTCCCGCTTAGAGCACCTACCTAGGTTGCGGGACTGATCATTGTTTCTCTCTCTCTCTCTCTCTCTCTCTCTAATTTTGTTTTGTTGTTTCTCTCTCTTTCTCTCTTTCCTTTTCTCTCTCTCCCTAAAATCAATGAAAGCATGTCCTTGGGTGAGAATTTAAAACAATTAAAAAAAAAATATGGACAAAGGGTAGGGCCAGGCAATTTACAGAATAAATTCAAACTGCCAAAACTATGGCAAGGTGCTGTAATGCCAGTGTAAGGCATGCAAGCACAGCAGCATAGCTTTTTTTCTTTTTCATCAAACAGATTGGAAAAGATGGAGAAAGTGGGGGAGCAGGCACTGTCTTTATACAGTTGGTGGGAGTATAACTGGGTCTGACCTCTTTGGAAGGCAGTTTGGCAGCATCATTCAACAGTAAATATGCAAATTCCCTTTGACTCAGTAACCCCTGGGTGGAAACCCCGGGCCACCTGACTCCGGATCCCGTGTTCTGAACCGTGACTACCCTCTGTGATGGTCAGGCTTGGGTTGGAAAGGGCAGAGTTGGCTGATCAACGGGGAGACTTGTGGGCTTGGCCGTGGGAGGCTGAAGCAGGACAGATCACCATGGGCGACTTCTTTGGAGCCTTTATCTCCTTGTGTGACTGGCTCAGATATTACTGAGGAGCCCAGCACAAATCAATAGCTCCTTGGTCAGCCGCTGGGGTGGCCCGGCTGCCATTCCAGTTCTGCAAATAACTGGAGCCCCGTCACCGGTGAATCAGCACTGACCGCCCTTGGCAAGCAGGGCTGGGAAGGCAGCGTGGCGTGGCGCTCTGCGCTGGGTGTCAGGTGACTGAGAAAGCGGGCCAGCAGGGTAGCTGTCTTCAGGACGATTTGGGTGTGACATTCTCCACCCCTACCTCAGTTTCCCCTGTCTCTGTTTCTTTCCCGTTCCCTTCCTTTCTTTCCTTTTTTCTCCTTCTCTCCTCCTGCCCTCCCTCCCTCTCTTCCAAGGAGTGCCAAACATGCACCAGATATTGTGACAAAAAACAGAAGGCCAGGCACCCTCATTTTCCCTGCACACAGATCGTTGGCAGCTTGGGGGCACAGAGGAGGGAGTAAACATTGTGCCTGATGTGGAGGGAACGGGGTGGAAGAGGGTGCTTGAGCTGAAGGTTGACACTTAGTCGGTGTCACCGGGCAGGCAGGGGAACAAGGACAGGACCTTTGGGCAGGGCTGCAGGAGCCCAAGGGAAGCGAGCAGGGAGGGGCGGAGCTGCTGCTTACCGAGGGGCCTGAATGCGAGACTAAGATACTTGGATTTTATCCAGAGGGTGATGGAGAAGCATCGGCTTTTGTTTATCATATTATATCCATCTATCTAACATGTTATTACATTATAAATACAATTCATCATACTATAAAAATCAAACAATACCCAAGAATTTTTATTAAAATAGAGTAAAAATTGCCCTCTAGTCCTGGCAGGTGTGGCTCAGTGGATAGATCATCAGCCTGCACACTGAAAGGTCAAGGGGTTTTGATTCCCAGTTAAGCACATGTCCCTGGGTTGCAGGTTTAATCCCCGGTCAGAGCAGAAGGCAATTGATAGATATTACTCTCTCACATCAATCTCTCTCTCTCCCTTCCCCTTCTCTCAAATCAATAAGCATGTCTTCAGGTAAGGATTAAAAAAACACACAAAAACAACCCTGGGAATATTCAAAAGTCTAATTGAGTAACTGTTATCATTGCACAGCATGTGCTGAGCTCCTCCTCTGAAACGTGTGCCCTTTCTCTTCCCATCGCCCTGGCTCCACTCTGGTCTGAGCCACGAGTCTCCCGTTGGGATGCTTGTGATACCCTCCTTACCTGGCCGCCTGCTTCTGTTCGTGCCCCTGACAATCAACCCATTCTCCATAGAGCATCCAGAGGGAACTTCTAAAAAGGTATTTTGGATCTTGTCACTAGCTTGCTTACATCCTCCAATGGTGTCCCCTTGGGCTCAGAACAAATTCTAAACTCCTAGGCCCACAGGGCCCATGTGAGCAGGCTCCTGCCAGACCTCATGCCTCTTTCCTCCCTCTACTCCCCTTCAGTCACACTGAATCCCCCAAAACATGCCAGCTTCTGCCTCAGCCCCCGGAGCTTCCTGTGCTTGGGTCCCCTTTATTAGTTAAGTCTGGGTTGAGATAACATCTCATAGAGACCTTCCTTGACCATCCCATGTCCATCAGGACCCTCAACCCAATCACCCTCTCTAACACTTCCCTGGGGCTCCTTCTCTAGACCAGTTGTCTGATTGTCTTGTGAGGCACTGGTCTCCTTGTATGTCTGATCAGGGTCTCAGGGAGGGAGGACAGGCTATTCTTGGGAAATGGGGTAGGAGGGGGTGGTTGGAGAAGTATGGAGGTGCTAGCCTGGAGTCCCTGATGACCACTCCTTCAGATCCTTACATCCCTCCAGCCTAAGCCTCTTACAGTCTCTTGAAGCCCTTCATGTTTTCTGGAAAGGTTGGTATTCAGTGCAGTGGAGCTAGGACTCTAGTCCAAGCTTGTTTCACCCCGGATGAAGCATCCTATTCTGATATCACACTCTCTCCCTACCCCAGGCATCATCTGGGAAATGAAGGAAGGGAAACTTCCTGGGTTCCCAGCCCTGAGGTTGCAAAGAGATGAATACCCACCCACCAGAGCTAAGTCTGGCAGCCAGGCCCCCACCCTGCTTCCTGTTAGAGTGGCCCGGGGTTACTCACGGTCACAGCTGAGGAGCCAGCCAGGTCTTGGGACATCGTTGGCTGGCTCCCTCTTCTGAAATCCCCTCCTGGGGTCAGGTAGCCATAGGCTCTTGCCCCGTGGAGCAGGCCCGGCCAGGATTAATGAGAACACACCCCATGTAAAGTCTCCAGACCTCAACTTCCTTGGCTGTAAATGGGGGTACATAAATGGGAGCTGCTAATATCATTATTCTTCTATCTGGTGTTCTCTAAATTATGGGATAAACTGGAGAGAAATACAGGGTGGGGCAAAAGTAGGTTTACAGTTGGGAGTATGCAAATCAGTTTATTCTTATATTATTATTTATTATTGTACTATTGTCCATATAAACAACTGTAAACCTACTTTGCCTCACCCTGTACAGGTTGATACCCGTTTTCTGGCTGGGAAGCTGGAAGAAATCAGAAATCTGAGTTCTCAAGTTACATGTATGGACCTAACTCATCTCCAAATCTAATCAATCTGTCTCAAATTCCCCCCAGACCCACCCTCTCATTTCCCCCCAGCGCTGAGGTTCCACCATCATCATCTCTTGCCTGGACAAGTTGACACCCATTTTTCTGGCTGGGAAGCCGGAAGAAATCAGAAATCTGAGTTCTCAAGTTACATGTCTGGACCTAACTTATCTCCAAGTCTAATCCATTCTGTCTCTCAAATTCCCCCCAGACCCACCCTCTCGTTTCCCCTCAGCGCTGAGGTTCCACCATCATCATCTCTTGCCTGGATCACAACAGGCCCTTCACCTGTTTCCCACCTTCTCCCCTCCATTCCACCTGCAGTCAGAGTAAGCTCTTTACAACAAAAAAATCTGTCTGGGTCACTCTCCTGCTCAAAATGTGTGAATGACTCCTTTCCTTACTGTGGTCTACAAGACTCAAGATCCAGCCACTACAGACTTCCCAGCCCCATCTCTTTTAAAATATATTTTTATTGATTTCAGAGATGAAGGGAGAGAAAGAGAGAGAGAGAGAAACATCGATGAGAGAGAATCATGGATCAGCTTCCTCCTGCACGCCCCCTACTGGGGATCCAGCCCACAACCCGGTCCTGTGCCCTGACCTGGAATCCAACCGGGACTTCCTGGTTCCTAGGTCCACACTCAACCACGGAGCCATCCCCATCACTTGCCTAATTGCTTCCCCGCCCCCTATTGCCAAAATGCAGCCAGATGGAGGTACTCACAGCTTTCTGGGGGCACTGTTCTCTCTGGCCGCTGGGCCTCTGGAGGCTCCCTCCGCTTGGACCCTGTCTAAGCCAGCGCATGCATCCTGTGGGTTGCTTGGATTATTTTCTGTCGGAAGCCTTCTGAGTCCCCATCCCCACCACCCTGCCTCCACTGAGCACCCCCAGTTCCCTGTAAGCCCCCTATTACAATCCTCATCCGCCAGATTTGTCGCTGTCTGCTTCACCTGTTCTTGCGCTTGGAGAGGTTGGAGAGCGCAGGCCCACCAGACTCACTGCATTTGAGGACCGAATGAATGAACTACATATGTCCAAGGCCTGGGAGGTTCAAGGCTCCGGAAGCGGTCTCTGCACCTAGGGCAGTTAATCTAGTTAGCTTCTTATCTAGTCAATGACAAAAGGCTTTAGGGAGCAGTTTGGGATGGAAGAAGCTGGGTCTATCACAGGTTGGTGGCGAACAGCTCCAAATCGACCCCTCCGCCAAGCATTTGCAGACACTTGTCTCCTCAGAGCTGAGAACTAGAGATAAAGACGCTGTAAGACCTGCTTGGTCTAGTCCCCCCACCTCTCTGGTGTGTTTTCTTGGGGGGGTGGGGGGAGGATGGGACTTGCTACCTTCTGGGTCTAATTAAATGGTCAGCGAGCTCAGGTCGCGGGGGACACCAGAGGGCCATTCTAGCCGTGGTGTTCACATTGTTTCTTCTCTTCATTGTTTCTTTTTTCCTTCGCTCTTGCCCTCCTCCTTGCTCCGCCAGCCCCGGCTTCCCGCCCTACGACCTCCCACTGCCTTCCCCCGGCCCCTCTCTCTTTCACTCCGCTCCGCCCCGACC